ATGGACTGATTATCCCAAAACTGCCTATTGCAAGGTTTCTTTCACCACCTTCTGAAGCAGCCTCTGTTAGAGACTTGATACCGGGTTAGTTGGACCATTGGTCTGATTCAGTATGGCAGTTCTTATGTTCCTGCATGATTACTTTTTTTAGGTCAGATTGTCTCTAGTCCTGATGCAATTCCATTGGAGAATTACACTTCCCACCACCTATCTTTGTGACCACAGTAGTGCTGTCAGGATTCTCCCTTCTTATGTGAATAGTGGGGTGGAGAGCAGGCAAAGGTGTAGCTCCATCCCATGTTCATCTGTCTAGGCATGAGGTGTGGGGAGCAATTTACTCCTTTTCCTGGGAAAGGAGTGAACTGAGTCACAATCCTTTCTACTGCTCTTCTTGGGGAGGCATGGCTATGTGCCACTCTCTACACAGTACTAAGACTAAAGGCTCAATCTAGCCCCATGTTTTTTGAGCCAGAGGTGTTCATGATGGTTTATAGACCATTAAATTGACAGGAGCAGTTAGTGGGTATTTATTTTCAAAAGTGTCGCCTGTTGGTGGGAATCATGGAACCTTCCCACTATCTATGATTCCTTCTACATCTTTCAGCAGAAGCCCTTTAAAGCTAATTTGTCACTTCCTTTCTCAGCCACTAGAGTGTTCTCAAGACCTTTCAAATTCCCTAAAATTAATTTTAAAAACAAGCAAACAAACAAAAATCATACAATCATAGGACTGGAAGGGACCTCGAGAGGTCATCAAGTCCAGTCACCTGCACTTGTGGCAGGACTAAGTATTATCTAGGCCATTCCTGACAGGTTTGTTATCATGTCCCCTCTCAATCTTCTCTTTTCCAGACTAAACAAACCCAATTTTGTTCAGTCTTCCCTCAGAGGTCATGTTTTCTAGACTTTAATCATTTTTGTCGCTCTTCTCTGGATTCTGTCCAATTTGTCCACATCCTTCCTGAAATGTGGCACCCAGAACTGGACACAATACTCCAGTTGAGGCCTAATCAGCGCGGAGTAGAGCGGAAGAATGACATCTCGTGTCTTGCTTACCACACTCCTGCTAATACATCCCAGAAGGATGTTTGCTTTTTTTTTGCAACCGTGTTACACTGTTGACTCATATTTATCTTGTGGTCCTTTCCGCAGTACTCCTTCCTAGGCAGCCATTTCCCATTTTATATGTGTGCAACTGATTGTTCCTTCCTAAATGGAGTCCTTATTGAATTTCAT